TCTCTCTCAGTCTATAGCTTGCTCTCTCAGTCTTTAACCCTCTCTCTGTTCTATAGCCTGCTCTCTCACTCTTTAACCCTCTCTCTGTTCTATAGCCTGCTCTCTGTCTTTATTCTGCTAGCTCTCGTGCCCTTTTACCTGCTCTTTCTAACTCATTAATCTGCACTTTCTGCTTCATTAATCAGCTCTCCCTCATTCTTTAACCTTCTCTCTGTCTCACTTCTAAACCTGTATTCTCAGTCGTTATCCTGTCTCTCTCGCGCCCTTTTAACTGCTCTTTCTAACTCATTAATCTGTGCTTTCTGTTCCGTTAACCAGCACTCTCATTCTTTAACCTGCTCTCTCTCTGATTCATTAACTGTCTTTCGCTCTCTCTCGTTTACCTTCTCTTTCACTCATTTGCTTACCTTTCACATTCATTGACTTATATTAGATTCTAGTCTCTGATTCTTCCTTAGAACTGTAGCAATGATTCCAATCCACATATTCCACTGATATATGAATGGGAATCAAGACACAGAAAAGTTTTGCTAAAACTTTTCAAAAACTTTTTTTTAGTAATTTTTTTCCCCTCAAATGATTTTGGTGATCGCCCAGCGTTTAGAACTAATACAGATATTGTATTTGTATTGTATCTACAAATACAATATCAAATTATATGGAAATTATTTTCTACAATCCACCCTGTGATGTTGGCTGATTCTCTCATTTTGCTCTTCAATCTCACGTTACCATTTCCCACACCATCCTCCATGATGAAAGAGCCCAGCACATCAGTGCAAAAGATAAGGCTGAAGCATTCGCAGCAATATTCAGCCAGAAGTGCCGAATGTATGATCCATCTTGGCCTCCTCCAGTTGTCCCCAGCATTACAGATACCAGTCTTCAGCCAATTCGATTCACTCTACTTGATATCAAGAAACCGGTTGGAGACACTGGATACTGCAAATGCTACAGCCCCTGACAACATGCCGGCAATACTACTGAAGACTTGTGCTCCAGAACTTGCCGCTCCCCTAGCCAAGCTGTTCCAGTACAGTTACAACACTGGTATCTACCCGACAATGTGGAAAATTGCCCAGGTATGTCCTGTACACAAAAAGCAGGACAAATCCAACCCAGCCAATTACCGCCCCATCAGTCTCCTCTCGATCATAAATAAAGTGATGGAAGGTGTCACCACCAGCGCTATCAAGCAGCACCTGCTCAGCAATAACCTGCTCAGTGACGCCCAGTTTGGGTTCTGCCAGGGCCACTCAGCTCCTGACCTCATTACAGCCTTGGCTCAAACATGGATAAAAGGGCTTAATTCCAGAGGGGAGGTGAGAGTGACAGCCCTTGAAACCAAGGCTACGTTCGACCGAATGTGGCATCAAGGAGCTGGAGAAAAGCTGGTGCCAATAGGAATGAGGTAGGAAAACTCTCAACTGTTTGGGTCACATTTGGCACAAAGGAAGCTGGTTATTGGAGGTCAGTCATCTCTGCAGGAGTTCCTCAGGGTAGTGTCCTAGGCCCAACTATCTTCAGCTGCTTCATCATTGACCTTCCCTCCATCATAAGGTCAGAAGCGGGAATGTTTGCCGATGATTGCAAAATGTTCAGCACCATTCGTGACTCCTCAGATACTGAAGCAGTCTACGTTCACATGCAACAAGATCTGGACACTATCCAGGCTTGGGCTGACAAGTGGCAAGTAACATTTAAGTGAGTGCCACATAAATGCCAGGCTATGATTATTTCCAACAAGGGAGAATCCAGGGGAGGTAGGTAAGGGGAGGAGATGGCCGAGTGGTATTGTCGTTGGACTGTTAATCCAGAGACTCAGATAATGTTCTGGGGACCTGGGTTCAAATCCCGCCACGGCAGATGGTCAAATTTGAATTCAATAAATACCTGGAATTAAAAATCTAATGATGACCATGTATCCATTGTCGATTGTGAGGAAAAACCCATCTGGTTCACTAATGCCCTTTAGGGAAGGTAACTGCCATCCTTACCTGGTCTGGTCTACATGTGACTCCAGACCCACAGCAATGCCTCTTAACTGCCCTCTGGGCAATTAGGGATGGGTAACAAATGCTGCATGGCCAGCGATGCCCTCATCCCGTGAATGAATAAAAATAAAATGCCAACCATTGCCCCTTGACACTCAATGGCATTACCGTTCCTGAATATCCCACTATCAACATCCAGGGGATACTATTGACCAGAAACTCAGCTGGACTCACCACATAAACACAGTGGCTACAAGAGAAGGCCAGAAGCTGGGAATACTGTGGTGAGTAACTCACCTCCTGACTCCCCAAAGCCTGTCCACCAACTACAAGGCACAAGTCAGGAGTGTGATGGAATACTCCCCACTTGCCTGGATGGGGGCAGCTCCAACAACACTCAAGACGCTCGACACCATCCAGGACAAAGCAGCCCCCGCTTGTTTGGCACCACATCCACTAACATCCCACTCCCTCCCCCACTGACGTTCAGTAACAGCAGTGTGTACCATCTACAAGACGCACGGCAAATATTCACCAAAGATCCTCAGACAGCCCCTTCCAAACTCACAACCACTTCCACCTAGAAGGACAAGGGCAGCAGGTACATGGGAACACCACCCCCCTGTAAGTTCCCCTCCAAATTCCCACATTCTCCACTTTGGTTTTGTAGGGTGGCATGGTGACCCAATGGTTAGCACTGCAGCCTCACAGCGCCAGGGCCCCTGGGTTCGGTTCCCCCTCAGGCAATGGTCTGTGTGGAGTTTGCACATTCTCCCCATGTCTGCGTGGGTTTCCTCTGGGTGCTCCGGTTTCCTCCCACAGTCCAAAGATGTGTAGGTTAGGTTGGATTGGCCGTGCTAAATTGCCCCATAGTGCCAGGGTTATGCAGATTAGGTGGGTTATAGGGGGATGGGTCTGGGTGGGATGCTCCAAGGGTCGGTGTGCGGAGTTCTGAGGAAGGGTCACTGGACCTGAAATGTTAACTCTGTTTTTTTCCTTCACAGATGCTGCCAGACCTGCTGTGCTTTTCCAGCAACTTTGTTTTTGTTCGGTGTGGACTTGTTGGGCCGAAGGGGCTGTTTCCACACTGTAGGCATTCTAAATAAAAAAAAGTCACTCACCGTCCTGACTTGGAAATATATTGCCGTTCCTTCAGTTTCGCTGGGTCAAAGTCCTGGAATTCCCTCTTGAGAGCACTATGGGTGTCCCTACACCGTACAGACTACAGTGGTTCAAGAAGGCAGCTCACCACCACCTTCTCAAGGATAACCAAGGATGGCCAATAAATGCTGGTCCAGCCAGAGACACCCACATCCCACCAATGAGTAAAAAGATGGATAAGAAGATGACGAGGAACTGTTCAATGGGTGAAATCATAGCTGGCATGAATGAGGTGATTTATGTCTGTCCCTATGTGTTACAAATATTCAGAAATAGGAAATTCCAGCCAGACACAGTTCACTGAGTTCACTATTTCCCATGCTGGTATCTATATAATTGGTCATAATTGATCTCTTTTAATTCATTTCTCACAGCGATGGGTGCGAGTCAGGAGAGTTATCAGTTATTGAGTCGTAGAGTCACACAGCACGGAAACAGACCCTTCGGTCCAACCAGTTCAAGCCAACAACATTCCCAAACTAAACTAGTCCCACCTGCCTGTACTTGGCCCATATCCCTCCAAACATTTCCTATTCATAAACTTATCCAAATGCCCTATAAACATTGTAACTGTATCCACATCCACCGTTTCCTCTGGCAGTTCATTCCACACACGAACCATTCCTCATGTCCTTTTTAAAACCTTTCTCCTCTCACCTTAAAGATATGCCCCATTCTTGAAATCCCTCCCCTAAGGATAAGGCCCTTGCAATTCGCTTTACCTATGCCGCTCATGATTTTATAATCCTCGAGAAGGTCACTCCTCAATCTCCTACGCTCCAAAGAAAAAAACCCAGGCTTTCCAGTCTATTTTTATATCTCAAATCCTCTATTTCAGGCAACATCTTGGTAAATTTCTTCTATACCCTCTTCAGTTTAACAATATCCTTCCAATAACAGGGTGATCAGAACTGGACACAGTGCTCCAGAAGAGGCCTCACCAACATCCCTTACAACCTCAACACGATATCCCAACTTCTATACTCAAAGGTCTGAGCAATGAAGGCAAGCGTGCTAAACTCCTTCTTAACTGTGGGAGAAACCAGTAACCGTTATTACTACTAATGTTCTCAAGGTCGATATTTTCAGAGATAACAATTTGTGTCGCTGTCATTGATGTGACAACCATAATCTGTTGTAGAACATCTGGAAGCAGACCATTCAGCCCATCGAGCCCATGCTAACTCGACTCAGAACACTCCTATTTCCCAGGTCCATCCCCATAGACTTGAAAATCCATTTCCCTCCAGATCCCATCCAATTTCCTTTTGAAACCACGTGTCATCCTTTGCTGCCCTTCCCTGAGAGTTCTGGAGAAGGGTCCCGACCCGAAACGCCAGCTTTCCTGCTCCT